CGGCCCACGGCCCTCTGCGTTATCATTCCTCTCGTCACATCTCTCAGTCTCACGCGCCGTAAACTCAGGACGACGACGAGTAACAATCGCCCCTCCTCCGTCGGCCCGTTCCGTCGTCCCTCCGCTATCTTTACGCCGAGACCCGCGGTGTTAGTGCCTCCTCGGAAGTGCGTGTGCGTGCGTGATGCGTGTGCGTCCATTCCATTCGCTTGTTGCGCGTGTTATGCTCCTCGATGGTCGCGATGGTACACCATGTGCTCTCCGTTAGAGCTCCGTTAGAGCACTTTTGCACATCTTTTTTTTTTTTCCACCCGTCCTCTCTACGTCCCCCCCCCCCTCTCGTGAATTTCTTTGGGATTTATTTATCTTCGGGATTTCCGATATCCCGTGCCGCAAGTTCATCATCGAAATTTCGTTATGCGTTTCGTAGAAACCTGCCTCGACGCTCGACGTTCTCCGAAGCGCGATGGTATCGCGCGATACCACACGTAGCGTGCACCGCTTTCCTCTCTATTTCTTCTCTTTTTCTTCCTCTTCTTCCACCACCTCCTCCTCCTCCTCCTCCTCCTCCTGCTTTATCTTTCTCTTTCCACCCTTCGTAACGAGATTACGCTGCTTCTTCACAGTGCATCTTCGCGGCCTGGTACACGGCGTGTGACGGTTCTCTCTTCAGTGTCGACGATCACGCGCTCTCTTCCTCTCTCTATCTTTCGCTCTTACGTGTGGGGTGGATATGTGCATTACGAGTGCAATAACGCCTTTGCACGGTGCGATTGATCACGCCGCGGCGAAACCGTCGTCGCCACTCGAATGGAAAGTGCACTCCCGGTGCGCCGGACGCGATTGAACGACGAAATGGTGGTGATGCTCCTCTTTCACGCCGTCGTAGTCGCCATCGCCGCCGCCGCCGCCGCCGTCGCCGCCGCCGCCAGCTGTGGGTGGATTTACCGGTCTGGGACTGTCGTCGACTCGCTCGGTGATCCTTGACGCTGCCCGAACGAGAGTAAGTCCTCGATACCTTCGTTACCTCGCCGCGAAGCTTGACCTCAAGGCACAAGTCGCGTAGATCCCACGCTCGAAAACCAGTGATCGCGACGCGATTTTCCTCCGCACCGGTATTCCCGCACAATTATGCGTATTATTCCTGATGATAATTCCCTCGAAATGGCCCGAGGTGTATTAAAAAGTTATTTCACTGTTACATTTTGTAACGCTACAAGGCATTAAAGGCACACTGTTATGTGAGCTTCGCCCAGCGTGATTTAAGTATAATATAATCTCTCAGTTTAACTTATTCTTTCATCTCATTCTCTCTCTCTCTCTCTCTCTCTCTCTCTCTCTCTCTAACCGTCTCTCATATTTTCTTTCCCTTTCTTTCGAGTGCTATCTTCGTTAAAGATTATAATCGCGGTCAGGATCGAGCGACGCTGATGCAATCGATGATTAATCGTCTTTGTTCGTCGTCGTTTCCTCGACGGGTATGATCTCGATCAAACGGAAATTGGAAAAGCGCTCGTTTGGGAGCGAACTAGCGAAAATATCATCGCGTTTATTCGCGTTCCCGAATCGAACCGTGCCACCTCGATAGCCGAATCCGCGAGTGTATTTTCGTCCGACAGCCGACGGAAAGTTCAAAGTTGAATCACTCGCGATCGACGATAAGATTATGACGTCGCACGCGCGCGCATGCATATCCACGGTTCATCTCTTCCGTTCGTTTTCCACTTCTTCTTCACTTCGCGAATGGCGCGATCTCCCCGAATATCCATAGCCGGGTTCATTGATCCGTCCGATTGGCTTTATCGTACACAATTTTAATATCTTCACTACTTATTTCTCAAGTGCGCTGTTGACTCAATGTCAACTATCAGTTGTTGTACAAAATACAGATGTAGATCTAGATAGATGTATAGAAAAATTGATAAAAATTATCGTTGAAACTAGGTAATTCTTTGGATGAATGAGACACCCCGTGTGCAATAGAGGAAACAGGAATAAATATTGAATATTTTGTAAATAAATATTAGATAAAGAGATTAAATGTAATACACAGTGGACACACACACACACACACACAAAAGTTAGTATAAGATGTGGCCATGTACTATATTTATTCATGTCCATGTTTTTGTGTGTTACGTCTTATCTTTATTCCTCATTTTTCTTTCCAAAAATTTAATATTTATTCTTGTCAATTTCTATTCTATTCTCCGCGATTGTGCGCGAGGTCTGACAGTCCTCAACATTCCACGAGCATGCCCAAATAAAGAGAGATTGGCTCGCTCGCGGAAAGTTCCACGAAGAAAAGTGATATGAATTAATTCATGCTTGGAGAATATAAACTTCTATTCAGGTTTTATTTTTAATTCTCGTAAATTACCGTAAATTCGTTACGAGATACGCTCTGCCGCGACACGTAAAAGGCCACCATGTTTGACCATGCGAATGTACTCAATGTGTGACGAGAGGGAGTGTCGCGCATGGATTATCGCTGATCTAAATTTGCAGGGGAGAGAGAGAGAGGGAGGAGGGAGGGGGAGAAGAGAGATGCGCGATGATTTCGTCACGACGATGAAGACGATGATCACTTTACGCATGCCTCTCGTTTATCGGTTGTTACGTATATCGATACAGATTTATGAACGAGGAGCCGTTATCTGCTCCGATTTTTCAACAGTGGACTGCCTGTTGTGTAATCCGAGCGAGCTGATCGCGATCTACGATCTGGAGCTGTGTGACACGAAGTCGTAAAGAGTGCCAATATTGAAACACATGGTATCGCGTGAGAAGTGTGCGTCGCTTTTTGATAGCATAATCTCGCGAAATGGTCCCACATGGGTTTCGATCGAGCGATTCGCGAGATGCGAGATCTCTCGCCCGAGACTTCAACTAGGATTTTTTAATTTTGATCTCTAGCCAGGAAAAAGTTATTCGGGATCATTTGTTAAATTCAATTTTCATTAGCGGAAAACCAACGTACCTCGTATTTGGAATATAAATTCTGCAATGACGCGTGGAGAGATAATCAATAAATCCCTGCCTGAGTTTTAGTAACGTCAATTTACGCCACCGAAGGCTGAAGTAATGAAAAAAGTTAAAAATACGAACCGCATGAAATTATTTCGCGTTTCGTGTCCAATTTGGACGAATTATTAAACTTTGAATAATAATGCGTAATGATGCGGAGTTTATTTTTCTCTTTTCTACGGATCTCTTATGCATCTTCCAATTTTTGAAATGAATGCGCTTTGAAATGAAGGCGATGGCAATCCCGAATATTCCCGAATGAAAAAAAATGGTCGTTGATGCGCTTTTTGTTCTTTTCGAGTGATTTTTCAAGGTGAATCCTGGCTTTTTATTTCATTGATTTATTATGTGTTTGTTCGCGAAAATATATTTCAATTTACATCGCCCATAACGAAAAATTCGTGACACCATGGGAACGCGGCTCTCGTAGACGACGTAAATCGTCTGAGAGAGATTCAATCATCATTTATGGTCAATAATCTTGCTGCAACGCCGATAAATTGAACTATCCGGGAAATTGAACTATCAGTTTATTAACGAATGAAACGTCTACGATTTTTCTTTATCATTTCAATAAACTACAAATAAACTACTCGTAACAATGTTTGCTCGTTAGTCATTGCTCAAATAAGATCAGTACTTTTTTTTTTTCACTTTTAAAAGGCAGAACTCTTTAAAGCTCTATAAATCTTTCAACATCTGAAAGAAGGTCTGTTGAGGAGGCATTTTCTTTAGTTTAATGGTCAGAATTATTTGTTTAACAATTGTAGAATTATAAAAAGTCTTCAATTCTCAGGAGTTTCTACGAAATGACGATACGCCAGCTTTACACCAAAAATTTCTACAAGCGGTCCCACTTCTCTATCTCTCTCCCCCCCCCCCTCTCTCTCTCTCTCACTCCTCT